ATATATCATAAAAAAATAGATTTAAAAAAAAAAAGATTAGGCGGGATAATGAGCACCTAGGCGCGCCTGCATTATTTTCGTATTTTAGATGGAAAACACATTTTTCACGCATTTTCCAAATTCGACGCGTTTTGGCCACCCCGCGCCTAGGCGGGACATTTTACCTCCTTTTAGAACACTGCTCTGAAGAGTGACGTGCCAGCTCATGGGTACAAAGGCCGAGCACAGAGCAAGTTTTGAATGGTATTTTAACAAAATACGTGGTTAAAAGTAGGAACATTTTTGATTCATGTGAATAATATTTTATCGTAGGTTCAAAATAATCGAAATCAAACAGGTTCTCAAATCTTACTTTTCCCTTGTTTGGTACACATTTTTGCACCAAGAATGCATTTTTTGTTTTGATGTGATGGAGAATATGTGGTTAAAAAAAAAGAAAAATTATTTATGTGATAAAAAAATTATTTTATTGAAGGATATGTGGTTGAACATAAGTAGAACTATAGAATAGTTGTACCATGTGCCTCGGGAAATGCACGTTGAGAGATTGAACATGGCGATTATACTCTCACGAGTTTCCACCATTGGCCGAAGTACGAGAACGGCCAGAAGCAGTGAGGGTTCCCAAATTATTAATGATTATTCAATTTTTGCCTAGGATGTATTCATAAACAAGTCAAGTCCGAAATTAAAAATAGATTTTTAATAAATTTTGATTAAAATTGATAAAATATATGGTTAAAAAATTATAAGATCCATACAATATTTGATTAAGATTAATTGTTGATTTTGATTTTGATTAAAATCTAAATTTTAATTTCTATCAAATATGGACTAAATTACAAATATTTTTGATAAATTTTACTTTTTATTCATACGTTAAATAAAATTTATAAGTATTATACACTTCTCTATCATATCATCACCCGTTTCCATCCATCTATAAACACTGCAATTCTCAAACATCCTTCTAGTTTTCCTTTGAAAATTTTATAAATAATCAAATTTTAATCTCAATCACATTTTTCAGTAGACCCGCAAATATCTTCACTTATTTATTATTAATTTTTTATTTATAAATTAAATCGTTTTTAAATTCTTTCCAAACTAAAACTTTGATATTTAGTATTTAGCCCCTGTTTGAGCCACATTATTTATGTCATTTTCATTCCTCTACTCATTTTCAACCATATATTTTTCAATAAAATAATATTTTTCATCACATCAATAACTTTTCTTTCTTTTTCAACCACATATTCCTCGTCACATCACTTCAAAAAAAATACATTCTCTCATTTTAATGTGTACCAAACAGATTTGGTGTAGCATGAAGAAGAAAATGATGAATCAATTTTAAAAACCATTAATTTCTTTAAATATTGACTTAATTCGACACTAATTGGAAAAAGAAGAAAAAATCAATTGAAAACTGCCTTCTACTTTATTAATGCATTCTAGTGCAATATTTTGAGGTACATCCGTACAAAAATAAGAGAGGAAATGACTAAGGTTTGGCTAATGTTTATAGCCGAATCATTTTCATCAATACATATTATGGGATCCAAGTGTTATTTTCTAATAATCATTCATGTTTTTTTATATGTATTAATGATAAATAAAAATGTATCTGTGTAATAAGTGAAATGAATAAATTAAAACCGAATCTAACAATTGATTGCAGAGTCGATCATTCACACTTTTCAATTCTTTCATTTAAATCATTATAAGAGCATCTTCAATGCAATCGTGGATTGCATAATAATTGTGCGATATAAGCAAAATAGACAGTATTTAAAAAAAGCTCTCAAATGCAAGTTGATTGAGACTCCGTCAATCTGATGTAGTCGAGAAAAAATAGACAACATCTATAGATTCGTTTATACGTAACATGTGGGGATGACATATATGATGTTACTAATGGTGGTGCAAATCTAATGGTGGTAGTGGAGAGATGCGACTGCGTTGTTTAAAAAAATTGTCAATAGAAAAAAATATTTGACAAAATTAATAATTAAAAAATTTTATTATATGGTGTAATTTCTTATTTCAGTTAAGAGTATTTTGTCTGTTTAGCTATTTGAAAATTCTTCAGCAAGTGATATTTTTTGTATGAACAATTATATTCATGACACAAATTTTTTAGTTACATTACTTTAATTGCACTTAATGTTTTCGATCTTTGTTCACTATAGCTCTATCCCTAACTTTTTTTGAAACATTCTTGTAAGCAATCTTTATATAGCCATTGTTTGGCCTTTATTTCTTAAAATTCGTTTTTATTTAAATGTATTTTCAGCCACACATTCATGAGATCATAATTTTTATCAATCACATATTTCATTCACTTTAATTAAAACTTACTAAAAGTCTGATTATGCCACTTCTACCAAAAAGAATTGACAGATGTAGTGACAGATGAAATGGTAGCGGAAGATAATTGGATAAAAAAGCTAATTGTGTTTTAAACAATCCAATGATAGAATATCATATGATATAATCATTATGAAAAAAATAGAGTACGTAAATTTAAACTTATAAAATATGATATATAAAGTGTTATTAGACCCCTATAAACGATTATATTTTATCAATTTTCCTAATTATTATTAAATAAGGATTTTCAACATAGCGTGAAACTAAAAAACCTAGTAACAAGAAAATTCGTAAATAAACAAAATGCACCATTTTAACAGCCTGCACTGGNCCCTTACTATCAAACGGACCCTAATTGTGTTTTAAACAGTCCAATAATAGAATATCATATGATATAATTATTATGAAAAAAATAGAGTATGTAAATTTAAACTTATAAAATATGATATATAAAGTGTTATTAGACCCTATATACGATTATCTTTTATCAATTTTCCTAATTATTATTAAATAAGGATTTTCAACATAGCGTGAAACTAAAAAACCTAGTAACAAGAAAATTCGTAAATAAACAAAACGCACCATTTTAACAGCCTGCACTGGTTTGATCCTCATTTTTTCAAAATACATTTTTCTCTCTTCTGTTCAACTACATTCTTCACTCGAATAATATTACACGCAAACCCAAAATTTTTCCTTATTTTTCAACCACACATTCTCCATCAATCTTCAATTTCAAAATACATTTTTACAATAAAATATGGCTCAAACAATGTTGTAGGTGTATTAAGAGTCCCTCGTATATACTTATTCATTTCAAAATGAATAAGTTTTATTTATTTATTTATTTCTGTTTTCCACTTTCAGACTAACAAAACAACCATTGAAGCAACTTCCAGCAAGTGTGAAGTTCCTGCTACAAAGGGATCGACAATATATGTACAAAAATAGAAGAAAAAACCATCTAATCCTAGCAATCTTATGCTCCTGCTACAAAGGGATTTCAATTATGGGCAATGCAGCGGCAAAAAAACCAATTAAGATATTTTGGATCATAAAGCGCCAACCTTTCATCATCAACACTGCAAGATGGCTGTCTGAAGTGCAGATCTGCTCGACCAGATCGCATCTGCTCTTATATGGGACTTCAAGAACTTAATCATTTTCGTCGCAGCACAAGATTGCAAGTCGTTTGTCATTATAAGTCCACTTGGTAACTAAAGAAAAAGGGCAAAAAAAGAAAAGAACGCTAAGCAACCAATACTTTGCAAGCATATAATATAAATTGGGAAAACTGCACCATAGGTTCCAAACCTATAGCTCCATGAGCAAGTCGGTCATTAATATTTCACTATAGTTGCAAAGCCAGGCCTCAACATCACATGGCCCTCATGAAACATGTCTCACTTCAAATTTCTTAGCACCAACCAAGTTGGAAAGTAAAGTCTAGTTTCATGAAAAAGGACATTTGAACGTGATGATTTAATTGAACTTCAGATCTTTTCGTCATTGAGAACTAATTGTGCAACTATAGAATACCAACTTGAATACTAGAATAATAGGTTGGGGACCAATTGTGCAATTTTCCCACATAAAATATTAAAAATATTTGCATCTATGTTTCTGAGACGCTTGTATGTAGATACATTATGGACTGGTTGCATTTGTGCATATATGCTTGCTGAAAGAGAGGGTGCACATGTACTGTACATAAATTTGCATATGCAAAGGTTGGAAGAGTACAAGTAATCAGAAAAAATGGATATTCATTATATAAAATCAATCAAAGAACTGAGGAAATGTATTCTGAGGTTTGAATACAAGACGGTGAAATTGAGAAGTCAAAAAAAATACTTAATTCGACACAAAGGTAAGAGTTACTTTTAAAAAGTTACTTTTTTAATTGAAGTTAAGAAAAAAGTGGCATATCCAAACACCTTTTGGAAACAATAATTATTTGAAAGTAACCTTCACTTCTTTTAAGCTTAATGAACATGTTCTCAAATTTTAATCTATTTGTAAGAAATAAATTGCCAAGTACCTTTAATAGTATACACCAGATATGGTTCAAGCAGAAGTTCAATCATCTATCAACTCGGAGTATATTGTTATGGACAGTGCCCTTGTAAATCGACTCCTTTTCAGGATCAATTCTCCAATGACCATCGATGATGAACTTTATCTGCAAATAAACAAGGGATCTATATAAGAAGAAACCAACAAAATGTTTCTTATTGCTTATAAGTTATATCTGAGAGTTCAATGACAGAATTGATATGAAAGTTTTCCACGATTTTTTAAAGCCAGTTTTAATATCCATCCTGCAGCACCTCAATGACTACATCATTTGATATTTCAACTTTGTTAAACCTACAGACGTGAAGTTTAGTTATAGCATTGTAGGAAGTAATAGCTGGGTCCTCAACCTACTTGAAATTTAACAGTCCAATCTTTTTTCATGCAGGAATCATCCTCAACGTTTCACTTTCATAGCATGTTGATCTCTACTAGACTGCTTCAGTTCATTGTTTGTTAAAATGTCACATGGACCTCTTATGATTCACATTTTGAAAGATAAAATGCATAAACTCTACTTTTAACGAGAATAAAATAAAAGATACAAAAAAAAGGACTCCACCCCCACTGCTTCCTCAACCCCCCCCCACAAAAACAAATCAAAACAAATCCTCTCTCTCTCTCTCCCTCTCTCCCCATGGTCTTCATTCCAGATTATTGCTAACGTCATTCGCCTAGAAAAATACTCATGTTGTATATTTATGTCGATTGAACAAATTATTCGTGCTGAAGTTTGTACTCATTGGTTGGTTTGAAGCCACTCCAACACCTAGCTTTTGCATTTTCAGGTGATTATCTTGCTTTAGCTCTGTCATCTGCCTTTCAGAGAGGGGTCAGGTTCCCAGAATTCAATTCATGCTACTCAAGTGTTTCTTGTTTCTCAATTCAATGAAATTTTTAAAACTTCATTCTTTTTCCACATAGTATTGGGGAATTTTGTTTATTTTCACAAAGTTCCATGGGGCATGGTGCCGGAGGAGCACCAGAGGGTGGAGATGACCATCATGGGGAGGAGTTTTGGGTAGGTTGCAGAGGGGCAGCTTGGTTGGGGGTGGAATTCAGGTGGGGCGACTAGAAGCGGGTTTTGGCAGGAGTTGGGATGAAGGGTGTGATCGGCATTTCTTTTTTCTTCTCCTTTCATTTCTTCCTTTCCATTTCCCTTTTCCCTCTTGGCCTTCTCTTTCCATTTATATTTATGTTTCGTTAAAAATAATGTTTAATCATTTTATCCTTGAAAAAGTGAGTCGTACAAATATCATGTGATGTTTAAACGTCAAAATAGACAGAAACCGTCAAATGGGGACCAATATGCTATAAAAATTAAAGGCGTTGGATGAATCTTTCCAAAAAGAAAGGTTCGGGACTCACTAGTTGCTACATTTCAATAGGTTGGGACCCCATTCCTTTCACAAATTTGACAATTTTTTTCATTCTTTTTGTTCACATAGACCATTCATCTCCGTCTGCCTCTTCAGAGACCAACTTCCAGTAAAAGGTTAAAGTCAATTTGGCTTCAAGATCCATGCCAAACTCCAAGGAGAAGAAGGGCAACATTTCTTATCCTACTAGACGTAGATATGTTCAGGCAACCTATTCTTTATAAATAACCAGGAAAAGAAATTATCACACTCAAATCAGTTTGTAGCTTCCGCACCTCGTATACCCCTGGATAAAGCCACAGAACTGTCCTCCAGAGCCGAGGTTTCCTGGCAAAGTTTGTTAGTGAAGTTAATTGGTAATTTTCAGACCAGATCTGAAATAAATGTTGTTAATATGACAAAACTAATATTCAATCTGCATGAAACATTTTCTGGAAGGTTTGAATATAGAATAACATAATGAAGAAAATCACTGTTGACAGCAAGATATAACAAAAAATGCGATCTTTTCAATAATCAAACATTGTTAAAATAAAAATAAAAAAGGCAAGATCAAAGCACATATGCTTATCTTCACTTGCTCATTCATAATGACCTCAAGGAACCTATGATGTATAGGTATTATCATTTAAAAATATTAGATACCCAATGCAACAAATACCTAATTAAGCTCTCAACATGGCCTGTAAATAAATGGAAGGAAAAATTCTTAAGGAACTTTAAACTGCATTATATAGCACAGGCAACATTTAAACTACGTTCATAAATAACATCAGTTAGCCTTCTAGTTATGTGAAGGTTAACAGCCAACTTGAAAAGTGGTATTTTCTTTCATATTAATGAGAGAATACCTTGTGGCCAAAATTTCAATGTCAGAAATTTCAAGCAAAGATGTTACAATGTACGTGAAGAAAGACGAAAAGAAAAAGAACATAAAAGCATCATACAATTAACAACCTGAAATAGCAAAAAAATTAACTGATTAATTTCTATCAATCATCAGAAACAAAAAGTTAACAATGTGGCTAGCAGTTAAATAATAGAGAGAAGAATAAAAAGTCAAAAACCTTGATACTATGGGGTTTATGATACTTGATGATGGATGTAGATCCATTTTAATCCGATGATGCCAACCATTGAAGCTACCGGCCAGTTCAACAGTTTCGCCATCACCTGAATACTCAACTTCAACCTGTCAAGAAAGAAAGTTATTTACGAAAGGCAATGCCTTCAGCGTTTTTATTTAACATCAAGTAAATAGCGAAGATTGCCTAATTATATCACTAACGAAATGATTAATCGTGTGTTGCTCTAATCATCAAGCTGTAACTAGGTGAAAGTTTTTTAGAGCATATCCATGACCAGGTATGCAACGAGCTAACAGCATTTAAGCCAAATCTCATGTATAGAGTCTATAGACCAACCAGTCACGCGATCAAAAGTCCACACCACATAAAATCAACAAAAAGTGAAAAGTAGAAAAGAAAACAAAGTACCTCCTTCAATCCAGAAAGGCTTTCTTCAGCAGATTGTAATTCTGCATCTTTGTCTGAAATAAGTTTCTGTACGTTACTTATCTCGGCTTCTGCTTTAGTTTGCAAAGCAGACAAAGCAAGCTGGAATACAGAAAACAAAATGGAGATTGCATCACAACTGAAAAATGCCTACAAGCTTCCACAACTGATCATGCCTACATGTTGCTAAAGATACTAAAAGAAAGCAATTTTCTTTTATCAACTTTATATGTAAAGAGTACATCCAATATTGTAGTCAGTTGAACTGAAGTACCTTTTCCTTCTCAACCTGCTGCTTCAACTGGGTCAATTCCAACTCCTTCTTATGCTAAGTACAGCGAAAATAATGCACCTTAGTTATTACTTTTGAAAATTTTGAGAAAAACAAGTTATTTCTTTGGAAAAAGTTAAGAAATAACACTGGTACAAGCAAGGTCAGCTTGCATAATACTATATAACATGCAAGCAGACAGAGAGTAGTACCAGCATAAACTTCAAGCGCTTAACTTCAGCATGATTATCCCCTTTTTGGGTCTATCACAAAGGGGAAAAAATTATTAAAATAATCATAATTGACAAGGAAATTTTTACAACAAAAGTAACAACTCAAACTGTATATTTGGGATATATAGTGACCTCAAGATCTTCATTCTTGTGACAATCAACATTTGCCACTTCTTGAGTTGAGATATAGCCATTTCTACGAACATAACACAAAGCAACAGTCAAATAAACATGGAAGTTTCAAAGAAAAAGGAAAGTGGGATTAAAACATCCCAATAAAAACAAGTTGGAAAGCACTAAGAAAGCAAAGATAAAATGGAACTGAAGAAACAAATTTCAATCTTAATCAAACGCTTCATCGCAATATCAGATTACTTTAATACTTTTTCATTTCCGTTTTATAGACAAGAAATCAGGAGAAGTTAAATGCCTAAACATATCCACCAAGTTCTGGAAGCTTCAGAAGTATATGATCAAACAGCATGCCAACATATATCACGTGTCTTGCTGGCCATCACTCAAGTTGTAATGCTGGCAAAACTATCAAACAAAATATGCACACCTAGTGATTTCTCGCAAGGAATTGAAACAAACCCGGAAGTGCTCTTTTCTAATACAGGATGTTCAACCTTCTGATTCTGGAGTGATGACTTGGCATTTCCATTTGACATTTGGGCACCACTAGAGCTAGAAATCATGGAAACCGATTTTGGTATCAAAGTATCTTCTGATCCGATAGCCCCCTCTACGTCTTCTGCAACTATTTCTTTTGCAATCCCAAAGCCACTATCTGAGCTTCATGCAAGAACGTCAATTAAGACTATAGAGGCTTCAAATGCAACAGCAATCAAATAAGGTGGTGTTTTTCAAAGAAATCTCAGCCAAAAGGAAATCAAACCTAATCAATCCAGCTAAAAGATGGTGAGACGAAGAAACTCAGAGACAGTGAAAAAGAAAGAACAAAAACTTAATATGTATTTTAAAATAGATTAACTCACATGGATACTGAAAGATAGTCAGAGA